GGCAGCACCGCCACGCGCGGCGCCGGCCGGGAGGCGGGGGCTGCGCGGCGCTCCGGGCGTTGTGCCGTTTTAAACGTTGAAACGGGCCCTGCGGGGAGCGGGTGGGACTCGTGGCCGCCGACGGGTTTTTTTTTAAACCGCCCTTTGCTCGTGGGGCGCCGCGGGAAGGGCCGGGCCGGCGCTGCGGGCCGGGGTCCTCCGCGGCCCGGAGGCCAAACCTCGACCCCCCAAACACCTTTGTGCCCCCCCCCCCCTTTTTTTTTCCCGGGGAAAATCTAGGCCTTAGCCTAGAATGCAGAAGAACCAAGACCTCCAGGTGCTCGTGCGCCCGCGCAGCGGCCCCGGGCGGCCCTGGCTGGCAGCCCGCGTGGCCGCCGAGGCCTCGTGGGGAGGTGTGTGTGAAATGGCCTGCTCCTCCCTGCTGCCCCCGCACAGAGCGCCGTGCTGAGGCCGCGCCAGGAGCCGGCCGCAGGGCCGGCCTCGCTCCCGCGCGTGGGGAGGTTTGCGCCCTTGATGGCGGGGTGAAAGGCTCCTGACAAGGGGCCTCCAGTGCTAATCTGTGTGTTGGCCTCTTTAATTCCTTTGGAAAACTTAGGTTGATGTTCTGGGCTTCTTTGGGGAGTCCATGTGCCTTTTTTTTTTTTTTTCCTGTTTGTTTTTTTTTTTTTGGAATATTTCTTCTGCCTTGGTTCCACCAGGCAAAGAATACTAATATTAGCAGCTCAGCTGGGAACAAGGTGCTACTTTTTTCTTTATTCTTTAGCGTTACACATTGCTGTGAAATTCCAAGCGCCTTATATTTCGATGTGGAGCATTTCGTGATGAGCAGAGTTTGCTTGGGGGTGTGTGCCTTTTTTTAAAGCACTGTCTCTTGCTCTCCAGGTTTTGGATTACCATGGGTGTAAGATAAGTGACCCGTACTGCTGGCTCGAAGACCCTGATAGTGAGCAGACCAAGGTAAGCTTTCTTCATGTGAGAATTGCTATTCCTCTTTTCGGAAGTGTGTGCCAATAATTTCATAGCCTACCATTGTAAATGCAGGTGCACAGATGTACAATCTGGTATCCTGCAGCACCGGCAGAACAAGGCTCTTATCTTGTACCTTTGTGTTAACAATGGAGGAAGACTGCAACAGTTCCGAAAGATGCAATCTAGAACAGAAATTGGAGAACTTCAAAAAGGTCCTATTTGTCTTAGTCATTTTTTGCAGGTCATTCCGATATTTGAGGTGGTATTGTCATGCTGAAGGTAAAGATGCTGGTTTCAGAGCACTGTAACTACTGTCCTAGGGAAAAGCTAAAATCGCCCTGATAAGATAGGTGAGAAAGCTTCTTTCTCTAGCTTACTTTGATTGTACAGTGACAACTGTATGTCTATTTTACTTCCTCTGCTTCTTCCTCCTCAAAGTAGGCCCTAGGCATTGTTACGGATACTGTAGTGTTTGCAACCAGCAGTCCCGTATAACTGGACTTGACTGCTGAAGCTGGGACTTCATGTTGCACAGGAGAGAGATTCCTGAAAAATAAGGATACAGGGCAGTGAAGCAGTTCCTCCGATATTCATGCAACACAGAGCTGAAAGGCTGGTAGAAAGCCAAAGGAAGGTAATGGCCATTCTTCTAGAATGACTCTTAACTTTTTGACAGCTGTGATTGCAGATCTAAAAAAAGACTTCTGTCTAGTGTGAATGCTCATGGCAAACCTAAGTAACAAAAATTAAGATCCTGCTATTTTTTAAAAATCTTGCCAGGTAGCCTTCTATTACAGAGATTTATCTTGCCAGGTAGCCTTCTATTACAGAGATTTATCTTGCCAGGTAGCCTTCTATTACAGAGATTTCCTTGTAGATTTTCTCATATAAGTTCTTGCGTAGTATGTTAGCCTATATAGCTAGAGGATGGCTGAAGAGACTTCACTCTAAGATAAGCTGTTCACTATCAGGATCACATTGCCTACTTACAAATCCATTGGTCTTTATAAAGACCTGTCTGGATTAAGCTTGTTCATTTTGGCTCAGTATTTAGTGAAATATTCTGCCTTGGAGTTAATGAGTTAACATGGAAAACTGAACATAAGTTTTAAGTGTGTTTTTTTTAAATCACTAAATAAAAAGCACTAAATAAAAAAAAAAAGGCCAGGTTGTGACCTTTGGTGTCCCCATGTTCATTAACCTCACACTGAGAAAGGTTGGGGGAGAACAGCTGAGAGAATCTCATTCTCCAGAGGTCATAGCGTAAGCAGGCAGTGTAGTGATGGTATGAGGTAATGCAGGAGACAAAAAAAGAAATGGGGAATTTTAGCATCCTTCTGAAAATGTAGCAGCCCAGACATCAGGTGTCAGATGGCTGGAAAGAAAACGCTGTTAAATCTCACTCGCCTCCGCTCCAGAGACCACGCACCGCAGCAGAATTCACAGCGCTGTAGTAGAGTAGAGAGTGTCTGCAAGTTCTTGGGCACATGAAGTTCCAGCAGTTACTGAACAAAAGGAATTAAAACATTTTGCTGTCCTACCTCTTTCCTGGAAGACAGAAATAGGGGGAAAAAAAAAGTTGAAAGTGCTAAGTTTGTTATGTTTGTTTTACTCCACAGTGTCTTGCGGTCTGGAGCAGAAGCTGCTGGCAGCTATTCTTTTTCTTGTGAGGTTCTTGAGATATTTTGCAGCTCTCATCCAGAATAGCTGTTCTGGGCCTACCAGATCAAGCAGTAATCGGGCACTAGTGCAGAGGTGCTTGAATGGCTGTGCCTGCTTCAGAGAGAATTTGCAGTGTGCTTTGTAGGCTGCGTAAGTCCCTAAGTGACTGACCTTGACATCTTTGTCCTTCTCTATTCTTCTAAGTTACTCTCTCTTTTTGTGCACTTCTCCAAAATAGATGGAGGCTTGGGAGATAAAGAAGGGTTTAATGCCCTGTGTATGTCCTTCATCAATAGGCTACCTTTAATTTTCTAAATATTTTACAGAGCTAGAAGAACAATTCCTCTGAAATCCGTACTTGCCTGCAGTGAGGAACAAGGTTCAGCCCTTCTATGCAATGTTCTGGCTTAATCTGTGTATGTGTAGCTGTAAGTTCTGAAAGTTTATTGTAAGAGTGAAGACTAAACTTATTTATGCAGTCAGCAAACTTTTGCACATGTAGTCAAAAAAATGTTTGGTGTGTAAAATTGAATAAAGAGACAAATACAATAAAATTATATATATTCATATATATATGTATTAGGCCTAGCACAAATGTTCGTGTTGAGTATTGACTTGGTCATAGAAAATAATCTTCTTCACTTTGTTTCTATGTTGGTATGAGTTAACTGAACATTGACATTAGTATTTCTTGAAGGATTAAGAAAGGAGCACAGGCAAGTGAGTTTAGTTTTTAACCCTGAAATTTGCCTTGCAGTTTGACCTCTTGTTAGGTCTGGTTAGGACTGGTTAGGAAATTGTCCAGAACGGTTGTAAAGAATCATAAAGGTTCATATTTGTTTTTTTCTTGTAACTAGTTCAAGTGATTTTGTGGGTTCTAAAAGAAAGTTGGCACCTTATAATAAATAAAAGAGTGGGCTCTTTTTTGGTATCGTTATTGACTTAATTGGATGTTTTTGGTGCGAGATAAGCGTGCATATGGCGTTATATCTGTTGCAAAGTAGCTAGCAGGGTTCCATTGAAGAAAAGTGTTTCTGTTGCTGTTCCTCTGCCATTCCTCCCCTTCTTGCACTTGCTGGATGCTTGTGTGGGCCTTGTGTGGATTTAGCCATCCTGTAACCAGAGGATGAGATTATGTGGGTGGAGGCTTTCATAGGCAATTTTTTTTTGAACATAAAAATGTGTTCAATATACTACTTAATCCAGATTACTCCAAGACCACATGATAGTTGGATTTATTACAGGAGGAGGGGGAGGTTGTGGTTCAAGAATGGCTCATTGCCTTTTGTAGTGGCACACCATCTACTTTTAATTGCCAAGAATTCAACTAACTAGATTTTTTTTGCAGCCAAGTCAGTAGTATGATTTTATTTTATAGCTGCTATAAAAAGAAGGTTATTTAAATCTGAAGCCAGAAACAGAAGGGCAAGCAGGATTGTTTCTTGGCATATGTGCATCTTGGAACTGGTAAAGCCAGTCATCAAGCCCCATCTTCTGTCTCTTGTTGTAAAGTTAACTGTTCAAGAAACACCTGCTTCCGTATTCATGATCTGTGTGCATTTTTTAATTTTTTATTTCCTGTGTGTTTGGTAGAAGTAGTTTTGCACAGTTAAAAATGCACAAAAATTCTTTCCTTTTGCCAGATCAATAAACAGAAACTTTGATTTTTGCTTTGGTAATAGCTAAAGTACTGCTAGAGTAAATGCTAAAAGGCAGGCTGCCAGAAATCTGCCTAGTTCTATACTGTAAGGTTTAACAGAAGATGTACTCTATTGTGAGAGTTCCTTGAACTGTCTTTCAGTGGAAAGATATATAGAGATTATGGAGTATCTATTAAACAAGAGTTCTTTACAGATTAATAAAGACTGATAATTCTTAAAAAATGATATCTCATAAAACTTTTTTTGTGGACTTTGTACTGTGAGTGCGTCTGACAGTTTTCTTGGTTGAAAATTACATTGAGAGAATAGCATACTCATACCTAGAGAGCTAATGTGTTGTAACAAAGCACGGTTAGTAGTTCTTGTGGGGTTGTTTCTTTTAATGAAATTTGGATGTATTTTTTTAAGTAACAGTTTACCTGCTTAGAAGGCGGCTGATCGTTTCAGTAGAATATCTCTCATTTTACTATAATATTGTAGAAATTCTTTTGCGTTTCAGAGTGACCTTATTTTCTGAAAGGTTGTTTTTATGGAAAATACATAAGCCTTTCAGTTTTGTATTGCTTTTTTGACCACGAGCACAACTTGCTGCTCTAAAGTGTAAGAAATGTGTGTTTCCAGACTGTACTGACTCTCAGCAGAACTCTCCCAAAGCTGCAAGTCCTGACTCGCATTTTAGTTAGTGTAGCATTCCCTATTGTGAATAGTCTCATAATCTTTGATGTATGCTAGGTAGGAACAGGGAAATTACCTTAATTTCCAGTGAACGCTAAAATAGAGGTGATTCAGGTGGGTATGTGAGGATGCCGATGCTCAGTACACGCTTGGAGCGGGGAAGACGCGGTCAGAGCGTGGCCGGGCACACAGTGCAGTGGAGGCTGCAGTGTTCCCTTGCAGCAGCGTTGCTCTTCTGGCCATGTTATTGATGAGTAAAGCAGAGATGTGGGCTGGCTTCTGTCTGCTAAGCATAATTGAAAAGCACCTTTTCCCATTCAGAAGTGTTGCTGTACATTTATGTAAAGCATCTTTCTTCAGAGAATGTCACAGCATTTTGAATAGTTAGTCTGTGTAGTGTGTGCTGTCTAAATTTTCATGTATTTTCTAATTGAAATCCATGGGATTCCATTTAGAGAAAACAAATTCAGTTATTCATAATTCTTGGGAAGATTTGATCAGCCCATTTGTCACCTGATAGGGGTCTGTGCAGGTACAGAGGTGCTGAGCACTGCATCCCCCCCTGACTGGAGCAGTGTCTCTCTTACCACTGGGATGTGCTGTGCTGCTTTGCTGGGTGCTGAAGCCATCGATGCCGTGTGATTCTCAAAGGGAGAACATGAAACAAAAAAAGTCATCTTCCCTTGGTGATGTGTTCACTTCTTTCCTTCTCTTTTCTCAGGGAATTATTTCCAGACTTTATCCGCACTGATGCATGGAGTCTAACTTTGAATAAAGTTCCAGATATCCCCATTGTTACCCTTCAGCATCTTTTCCTTTTTGATCGCAGAGTTGTTTTCTTGGATCATCCTTGCATGGTGACTTGCATATAACCAGTACACAAGTTATTGAACTAACATTTCACCATTTGGGAAAGTGCTCTTGGAGCGTTACAAGTTTGGGGTTAGATGCTTAAAGCTTTCTGTGTGCTTTGTTAGACATGAACAAATGCCTCTCAACTGAAGTGGACAATAATTAATGCCCTTTCTCATTTACCTTTCAGCATGACAAGTATCTGAAAATACAGCTGGACATATATAGCTTTTGGCTATATAGTGCTGTGTCAGTAAGGCAAGAGGTGGAGACAGAGCATCTGTCCATCGCCTTCCCTTGCAGGAGAGACTTCGTTAGTCTGTGTGAAATGTCTGTAAAATGCTACTGGGAGAAAGTATTGGGTTTAGTCTTCTTCATTTGAAGAATTGATAAATGCATAAACTGATCTTAAAATATGTGTGTGTGTGTGTATGTGTATATATATATACACCAGACTGTCTGTTTTTATACAGCAGTTTATTGAACTGTGTAAGGCATGGGAGGGTGAAAGAGAAGTTTGCCAGTGTCATCAGGACTAGTAGAAACACTCTCTGCTTTGAAGAGAGTGGGAGGATGAACATGTGTAAGCAGATTTTAGGCTGAAGACCTTGATGCCTTTTTGTGATATCTCTCTGGGTTTTGAGAGTGGTACTGCAGCCAATGTTGCTAAGGCTGCCTCTGAGCTACAGCTCTGTACCAAGTGTCCTGTCCTTTCTGAAAGAAACAGCAAAGCAGCCTCTCTGCTCCTTAACAGCTGTGTTTGATAGCTCTTAATTTTAAGATGCTCAGGTATTAATGCTTGGCACTCTGAATAGAGATGGTGAAGAACCAACGTTGTACAGGTTTTCTGGCCATGCTGTTGAAATGGTAACCTCTTACAAACAGCTGGAATGTTTTGGGGCATTTTAGTCAAGTGTTTGTGACTATGAGGTAGGGTGATCTTTAAGAAACCCAACTCTTGATAGAGGTTGGATACTCTTTTCTTTTGTAACTGAAAGTTGACCTATGGACAGTGAAAACATGCATCTGTACCGGCAAAATCCAGTGTTTTGACCTTTCCAAGAAATGGTGCCTTGGGCTAGTCCTGTATCCTATGTGAATAGGCTGAGCAGATGGTGCCTGTGGAATTTGGTATCATCCTCTAGCTCTGCACAGCTCCTGTGATGGTCTTTTTTTTCTGCGCAAAATTGACTTCCTTTAAGTGCTCCAGCCTCTTTATAGTTTATTCATAGCAGAGTATTGGAGCACAATATATTTATTGTGATACAAGTGATGCAGTTAAGCTAGTAAGCTAGCTTTATAGCTGACATTTATGCCAATATAAGGACAGTTTTTGCAAGCCAGAACTGTGAGGATTTTTTGACAGAGAATGCGTGAATCTGTTTTGGTTTTGTCCTAACCACTCATTACTCATCTGTGTGCCCTGGAAAGAAATTATTAAGGCTATAAGATCACATAAGAGTCTCATTACGGTATTGTAGCATAATGAAGGTAAGTATTTGAGACTCTTCTCATGTGATATTAGGTAGCTTGGGGGATAGAGGAAAGGTATCTGTGGCACACTGAATCGGAAAACAGTGTTTCCTCTAAGACCCATGTGTTTCAGCTTGAGTTCTTATTTCTTTGGGGGGTTGTTTTCTTCTAGGCATTTGTGGAGGCTCAGAACAAGCTTACGGTGCCCTTCCTCGAGCAATGTCCTGTCAGAGGATTATTCAAAGAACGAATGCTGGAACTTTACGACTATCCGAAGTACAGTTGCCACTTTAAGAAAGGAAAAAGGTACGTGAGGAAAGTCTTGGTAGGTGGTGATGAACTTGAAGCAACTCAAAAGTAAACACTAGTTATAAGAAGAAGAATAAATGTAGATATAATTTATTGGAAATTAGAAAAAGTAGCTGATAGAATCATAGAATGCTTAAGTTGGAAGGGACCTCGGTCATCTAGTCCACCCGCCCTGCACACGCAGGGTCACCCGGAGCAAAAGGTCTAGGTTGTTGAAGCCACTGTTAGCATAAAACTGTGTGGTATAAAACAAAAGGTGCTGGAGTAGCTCTTAGTTCCCAGGTGTGTTACCCACTTGTGCCCTGATCTTCCCTTCTTCCTTAAAAGCAGAATAATGAAGATTGGTTAAAATCAAATAACCTTGTAGAAGAGTTTATAATAAAGAATCACTAAGGTTATAAGTTCTTTGTAATGGTTGCATGGAGTTCATGAAATATTTAGAACTTTGTTTGCAACACATTATAGCAAATCCAGCTTTTATTTGTAAAAGACGTTTTAGGAGATACCATAGGATGCATCTATACAATTTATAATTTGTTGAGATAAGATTCCTCCCTTCTGTCTTGATTTCCTCTGTTAAAGCGAAGAGGAAAGCACCTTCAGAGGGTAGTAAACTCCCTGGTAGCCCTAGGGGAGATTATGATTCCTGCTGTAGTGTGGAGCTTATTTTTCCCCTTGCTTGTTTGTCTGACCATTACTGGTTTCTTGACAGTCTTGCACAAATTTTCCTTGCTTACCTAACTGAAGATCTGATTCTTCCTACTTTCTTTGCCCTCCCCTGTTCTTCTAGGTATTTTCACTTTTACAATACAGGACTGCAGAACCAACGAGTATTATATGTACAGGACTCCTTGGATGCTGAACCCAAAGTTTTTCTTGATCCAAATAAGCTTTCTGATGATGGCACTGTGGCTTTACAAGGTTGGTGAGAAAGAAATTCCTACTGAACAAGCCTGGGTGTTCAGCAGAAGTTGAAAATGGTTTGCAACTCTTCACCTATCAAAGTATGGTTGCAGTGCCTTGTTTATATCCAAGTAGTCATGATAACCATGGGTAGATTTGTGAAGAACTTCTAAACCTACGTTATGGTCACAATTGACTTGGTTCAATTTCTTGGTCTTTTTTTCCTAGTTCATGCTTTTCTCAATGGTGGAACAGGTTTCCATTGAAACATGGACTGGTTCTTAGCTAGGAAAGAGGATTTGTATATTGCTATTGACTAATTTACTTGAAAGTCTAACATATATGAGTCAGTTTGCACTTTTATTAAAAGTCAGCAAGTTGAAGAAAGAGACTGTGAAGGAACATAGTGTTACCCTGTCAAGATGACTTATGTTCATGAGGGCTTTAACTCATGGTGGCTGTCCTTTTCCCCTTGCTGTCTTCTTTTGGTAACATGGCTCTATGATGTGATCTATTTAAAAGTATTTAGTATGGTCTAGTTAAAATGAATCACTATGACTTGTTTAGAGGCAAATCCTGCCTTACAGAGTGCATATGAAAGTTTGAATTTGTATAACCTTGCTCAATTTCTGTAAAGCTTACAGTGAAGTAACTTCCCACATGCATTTACAGAAACTTGAAACAAGAGGGAAACTTGTATTGATAAATAGTTGATTAAAAGGCAGCTGACCCGTTCCAGCTGACCATTGCAGCTTGGGAACAATTCTCAGGTTTATGATACATGGTTCTATGAAAATGTCAGCTTGTTTCTCAGTAGTGGCTAATAAACGTACTGAATGTCAGAAATGATTAGAGGGAAGGAGAGAGCAAAACAGAAAACAGTGTTACGTTGGCAACCCAAGATTTTATACATTAGCACTGAACGTTGTATACAGTTCTAGTGCCTTCATCTCGGGGTGTAATTTGGGGAAGGACAACAGGAATAATTAAATGTATAGAGCAAAGGTCTTTTACCTTTCAAGTGTGCCAGGACCCAGCAATTTGGAAAAGGGACAACTTAGCAGGAGTGTGACAGAGACTGCAACATAATAATAACATGATATACTATTGGAGGGAGTAAATAAAGGTTGAATAGGGGTTGTCTTTCCAAGTAAAAGAATGAGGGGAGGTCAAATAAAGGCAGTGGGAGTGAAGTCCAAAACAAATAAGAGAACATGTTTTTCCCTACTGCAAGAACTTCTTGTCAGGAGATGTTGCTACTGAGGATTATTTACTAAGATCCATGCCTTTGTAGGCTCTGGATTTTAGTGACTCCTGTACTGGAGTAGTAGCTGCTCTATTTGAGCATGCACTGCCTTCATTGCAACTCATGCTTACTCCTTTGGTAGTTTTACCTGTTTCCTTGAGAGTCCTACTTGGTGGCCCAAGCCTTTGTGCATTTTCAGCCTCTACTTCGTCACAGACTCAGCAGAGTTGTTACTCAAGTCCTAATTCAAATAGTGGGCATAAGCAGTTTTGCTAAAGGTGCTTGCTGAATACGCCTGAACTCAGGTGCGTGAGCTATTTGCGAAATCTACAGTCTTTGGAAAACTGCTGTGAAATCCAAGTATTAGTAAATGCACTTACATGTTTTAGTTTAGAAAATAAAACCTGTCCAGTCGGTGATCAATAATACAGTTCTTTTAACTGCTTCCCTGTTTTCTCTTGTCCTTTGGGATTTGGCTCGCATGTAGTACATTCTGAAAAGCTGTGTGGCATTGCAAAAAACACTTTTGAAAATGCTGGTTTCTTGTGTGGTTTTTTACTTCTGTTTTGTTCCTGATTTCCCAGGTTATGCCTTCAGTGAAGATGGCGAATACTTTGCATATGGCCTGAGTTCTAGTGGTTCTGACTGGGTTACTATTAAGTTCATGAAGGTGGAAGGTGCTGAGGAGCTTCCAGATACTTTGGAGAGAGTTAAATTCAGTTGCATGGCATGGACGCACGATGGAAAAGGCATGTTCTATAACTGCTATCCAAAACAAGATGGAAAAAGTGATGGTAAGTAGGGATTTGTGTTACAGAATGCTTTTTCCTCCGTAAATTGGTGTTCAGAGTTGTTGGCTGAAACTGGACTTTTGGTTTGCTTGGAACTGTGCTCCTTGCAAACTTGTAGGCCAGTTGGCTTGGGAAGTTGACCTGATGAAGAATTAACTACTTGGAGCACAGGGGAGGTTTCCAAATGTTTGTGCTGGGAAAACTTAGGCCGTAACACAGAAAGGAGAATAATTTTGGGGGGAACATCATGGGGAAGGAATCGAGCAGCAAGTTAATAAGACAGTGCTGCTGAAAAGTGCTGTTGTTTGTTTGATTTTTGTTTTGTTTTTGTGGAGCTCTGCTGTGTGTTAGACCTTGGAGTCAGCCTGGGCTTTAGCCCCATGTTTACTCATGCAAACTATGTTTTTGCAAAACTTGCAAACCAGCCATTAATTAGTGTCGTTTACCTTTCAATGTACTGGTGACTCAGAAGCCAAAGTGTTGCAGTGGAAAGCATTGCAAGAATAAATCCCCCCCAATATCAAGAAGTGTTTCATGCAGCATTTTCAACCACGTCTCTTTGATTTTTACCAAACAAAAATATGGATGTGTATTTTTGTTAATTAACAATAAGTTTCATTCCCCTTAGTTGCCTCATTTGAGATGGAAACAAATATCATTAAAGACTGGGTGGTGGGGGCGATTGGCTTTGTTTTTGCTTGTTTAGTATTTCTGTAAAGTGAAGCCTGAAATGTTAAAGCCTGACATTTAAAGATTGTGTTGCCTGCAAAAAGGGGAAAGGCCGGACTGTTTCGCCTTGTGGTTTGGAGTTTTGTTTTGGAGGGTTTTGTCAATGCCCTACGTCAAAGGCAGAACGGTTGAAGACTCAAATTAGTTGTAGTTCTGGCTGCTGAATGACCCCTCTTGTATGCAGGGGAAGGCAGGCAGATGTTTATAAGGGTATTGGCAGAGGCAGGCAAGGGAGAGTTTTGGGGGAGGGGGTTGTTTTGGTGTTATTGGTGTGGTTTTTTTTTTTTTTTTTGAGAACTAATGAATTTAAACATTTGACTTTCCCTAGGCACTGAGACCTCCACTAATCTCCACCAAAAGTTGTATTACCATGTGTTGGGAACGAGCCAGGCAGAAGACATCCTGTGTGCTGAATTTCCTGATGAACCAAAGTGGATGGGAGGAGCTGAGGTATGGTGCAACTCCTGAAGCTCGACATTGCTTTGTTCTGGTTTTTGGTTTGTTTGCTTTGTTTTGTTTGTGACTTTCTAACAGCTGGTAATAGGTAAGACATGAAAAGCATTTTGTTAAAAGAATGCTTTTTATTAGTGTTAGAGAGTTAATCACCGCACTAACAGTTATTAAGTAAAAATTACTGTTGGATCTGCTTTAAATCAACTATTGTTTATAATGACATAATCACATGCTTTTTGGTTTTGCTGGGAGATTTTTTGCTACAGTTTTGCCTTTTTTTTTCTTCTTTTGGGACAAAGCCTGATGTAAATTCCAGAATAGGCAGGGATCATTTCTCAGCAATCTTTTCTCTTCATAGTCAGTGTTGAGCTCCAGCCTTCATTTCCCACAAAGAGCTTATCTCATTAATAAGAATGCCTGGATACTCAGTCCCTATTTTTGCAGTATCTTTCCTGAAAATAAAACATATCTGTATATGAAAAAAGAAAATAGGTCTATTTTACTGATGTGGAGAATACAGATTGCAGTCCCTGTTAGTGCTGTACGCTCAGGTGAAGACTCTTTTAAGTTTAAGTTCCCCTTTTATTGGCTTCTATTATGTGGAGCGTCCTGTGGTGCCAGAGGTGGAACGGCATACTGCTGGAATTGGTTTCTTAAGCTTACTCGTAATTCACAAATCTATTCTGGAATGTTCCAGGGAACCTTAATGGTAGGTAACCCTACTCTCTTCTGACTGCCATTAATGACTCAAAAGACCTTGAGGCTTCTAAGTAATACATGTTTTGCCCTTCTTATTAGATTTAATGGAGCTTTCTTGAACACACTCTTTTAAGTGCTATTGGAATGTTGTGGTCTTTATATTAATAAGGTAGCTGATGTTTTTCCTAAGGATAGTAGGATGGTATCCTATTGCCTTTTTTTTTTTTTTTTTTTTTTTTTTTTCTTCCCCCCCAGTCTTTTAGTTGCTATATTTAAATAGTATGTTTTTGCTTCAATATAGGATCTCTTTTGGCTTGATATTTGTGGTAAATGTGGAATATTTTTGCCTAGATTGGCATATTCAATTCCAATAACTACTTAAAGAGTGGCTTTTTAAAAACATGATCACTTCACTTCTCAACCTGTCAACCCATGAAAATATTTGGGTTTAATTTTCTTTGGGCTGACAGAAAACAGGGATTCATTTGATTCATTGAGGAGTTTTAGCAGTCAAATTAAAAATCAGTGGACCAGAAAGTGAAAGACTACTAAGAAAAGAGACTGCATAGAGCTTTCTTTTTACAGAACAATTTATTCATGGAACCTGCAGATAAAAATAATCTTTTTATGTTATCTAATTATGAAAGACCAGTTCCGTCCCACTTGAGTGTTACTGTGAACTTGCAAATGGCTAAACTGACAATAAAAATGGTATCTGGAAACCATTATCCTTATTTTTCCCCAGTTCCATAAATAAATGTGCTGCTTTTTCTTTCTGATGGTGACAGATGGTTAGTAGTGCTGTGCCCATTGATTCACACAAGCGATGCACGTTACCGTCTGGGGTGTCATGAACTACACTCCAGATGTTGCTGTGAATGCACATCCATTTTCCTTGGGGGAAGAATATTATTGTCTGATTCATTAGGATATACAGCTTTTTAGGGTGGTGAAACTTTGTGGTCTTGCATGGTACTAAATCACCTGGAAGGTGATCTCCGACTAGATGGAGAGGTGTGGGTTAGGCTCTTGTGTAGCAAGCCCGTCGTTAACACGGTTCGGTTGCACGCCGATGGCCTTTCCGTGTCCTTGCTGAAGAAGCAACATGTGGAGTGTTTCGAGATCAGAAGTGAATGTGAGGAGCCTGGAAGAGGTTTCATGCCGCAGTGCAGGGAGTTAGGCTGGCCAGGGCACAGAGGAGCAGCAGTCTTCTACCTCCCGAGTCCTTCCTTCAAACAAAAATCTAGAGACAAGCTTAAACATAAAGTGGGGCTTTTTTGTAGTTTTTCTGTGGTTGTTCAGAACATACAACCTCTATACTAAATAATCAAAAAAGTGGAGTGGGAAGAAAATAGATTAATTATATAATGCAGGGCAGCCACCAGCTCCGAAGTCCCCTTATTTGAAACACACCACGAATAGAAGACGCTTCAGTGGGAAAGGAGGGATGGTCGTAAATGGAGAAACACATCGCTACTACGCGTTGTTGATTAATCAGCTTAATTACATAGCTTCTTGTCACTGTTTCCTTCACCTTTAGGAGGCATAGTCTTCCAGAAGGAGGTCGTTAGTTTAAGAAGAATTGTTTCTTTGTCTTATCAATCTGTTTTTAATCCGAGATGCACCTTGATAAATAATTATGGGTTTGCCTAAGTGAAAGCACTTTAAAACAGCTAATACTCTGGGATTGTCCAGTGAGCCGCAGCTGTAGAATGTGGCTTTGTGAATCCTGATATTAGTGAAAGAGGGATGTTAATGGTCAGGAAAAAATAACTATCCTGCAATTCTAGCAATTAAAAATGTGGTTTTACCCTTGTGGAATAGGTCAACATTCTCTTTAGGCCATACAGATAAGTTCTCTGGTCATTTTTTGAAATAGAGTTTGAGAGAGCAGAAGACCACAGAATAATTGGCAAAATTAAGAGGATTTTAATAATAATAAAAGGCAAATGATATGGTTCAGTGGCTTTGCTGTTAGATATTCTTCCATTGACATGCTGCCACTAGTTTCAAAATACGACTTTGCACAGCTCATCTGCTCACTTGTATTACTGTCACACTAATAAGCAAACATCTTTTTTATATGGAGCCCAAATTGGCAGAAAAAGATGGATTTCTCTCGTGTTTTATACAAGCTTCAGTGAAGACAATTAACTTTATGGATAGTCTAATATGAACTGTGAAACCTTTATGGTATGGACGGAGCTTCCCTTTCCACATTCAGACTTAAGGCAGAAATTGCGGGTCTGGCAACTGTGGAATAAAGAAGAGATGCATCTTACTTGCACGTGGAAAGCACCCTAAAGGGGGAGATCCTTGAGAGACGGTAAAAGTAATGATAGGGCTATTGTACTTCACAAAATAAATAGTCTCTGATGCAGTGCAGAGAGCTGGTGTGCTGTGTATTTTCAGTGGAGAGAAGAAAGTGGGTCACTGATTAGGAGAAAAGAGGGTAGAATAAAATTCTGTCAGTTTAATACATTTATAAGACAGCACACTTAAAGCAGCAGATTTTTTTTTTCCCTTCCTCGTTACTCATTCAACGCCAGCATCAGTAGCTTGATTTAAAACAAAATCTGTGATGCTGAAAATGGTCTTGGCACAGAAATGTGGATGTATTTCCAGCTCCTCACTTGAATGAATTGCTTGTGAGAAAAAAAAAAAATCGGTCATTTTATAGCTAGATCATTTTAGAAGAAGCAGCCATCAAATCTCTTCATTACTCTAGAAAATATATATAAGTTTTCTGGTCGGGGATGAGTTGGGAAGCAGCAAGGCTGGAACCTATTTGAACAATGTCCCAGTAGAGGGCAGTCTGGTATGAAAATATTTGAAGCCTTTGCAATGTCACAGCAGCTCTCTGGAGGAGGAGAGTTCTTGGCTTCCACCTCCGTGTTTGTGGCATCTTCCTGCTTCCTCTCTGCACTCATAGAGCATATAGCTTCTTCACAGTAAGGCTGTTTCTCTCAAAGTAAATAAGTTTAGTAGGAGCCTTTCACAGTTGATAGTGTTAGGAGTCTGTATTGGCAGGAAAATAAATAGGAATTAAAGAAGAGAGGGGGGAAAAAAAGAGAACATAAGTCCTTCCATGTCAGTGCTAAAATAATGCATCATTTTATGTTGTCTAACACGCACTAGGCACAATTCCTAAATTGATCAGAGAAGTTTAGAGCTGTCAGTTGACACAAGCAATTCACACGGGGGCGGTGATCTTGGAAATGGAATTCTGAGCTCGGAGACATGGAAGTGCAGCATCCACAAGGGAAGAATAAGCAGGATGCAGGCAGAGGCCTCAAAGCATTTGCAGTTGCTGAAGCGAGACTCACAAGCCTGTGGGCTGTGGTTTGGGTATTTTTTGTTTGTTTGTTTGTTTTTGGTAAAATCATATGTGTTCTTGTGCAAGGCTGAATTTGGACTAGAGCTGTGGATATTTTCCTTTCGCCTTGGCAATAGGTCTGGAGAGTTTTACCACTACCAAGGCAATCTTTCTGGCTGAAAGTGAGGCTGAAAGAGAAGCTGATCTCTTATGTAGCCAAGTTCCTGCTGCTCTAGGGAGCAGCACAACTTGGAGTGCACAGAAAGCAAGCTGAATGTCCCCGCAGGCCCCTTGGGTGATGTGTATAGACTGTCATCTCAGGAGCCTGCTAGTTTTGCTCTGCTAGATTAAGAAAGCGGTGGTATGCAAACATGCACGTGGCTGTGTTATGATTCTGAACAAGGCTCTCTAATGGCCTTGGTCCAGTTGGAATGGTTGTAATCAGGATGATCTAGGGGTCAAAATCCCAATTCTTTGGTTTAGGTAGGTTTCCTTCAACCACAGGCTTAGCAGAGGCTCGGAAAGATAGGAATGTTCTTTGTACCAGCATATTCTCCTTCATTTAATGTATTTAACATCCAAGAATGAAAACGTACCTGAAAGCAGGGAATTGAATTAATGTCCAAGGAATTGATTAAATCTCTAAAACAATTTGTCTAACCTCTAGGATGGAGGGAGAGAGCATGCCAGCATCTTTCTAACATGTAGCAGGCCATATAGTCCTTACCATATGTCAGTCTGGCTTTTTAAAATGTAATAAGCAGTTTCTCTTGGGCCTCCTCCTGAAATCCTGTGTATCTGTGATCAGCCATAATTAGGTCTTTTGAAATCATCATTAATGATTTAAGGCTGCAAATAGAGGACAAGAGTGTCCGCTGGCCACTCAGTGGCCATAGAGTGTCAGCTTTGAGAGCCTGGACGGACTAAGAGGTTAGTTAGCACCAACCCTGGTCTTGTGAGAAGACTTCTAGCACATAAAAAT